GGACTTGTCCCAAAACCAATTTTGGGGGAGAAGTAAACTGAGGGAAAGCAAAAGGCTGAATCCATGCCTATCTTCTTTTGCAACTATTTAGTATGATCTACTGGTTAAGCTGAATAAAGTCGTGTTTCTGAATTATTTGGACTGATCTCTTTGTAGATTGCAAAGGTTGTTGATTTAGACATAAATTGCGTGCCTGTTCTATATATTGCTTGGGTCTCACAGTTAAAATCTCCCATTATAAATCAATAACAGGAATACTAGAATATGGTGGGGCAGAAATCAAGAAGATTTGGAAAGAAAGTATAAGTTTAAAATGTTTTGTACTCAGATTTGTATTATTTTGTTCCTCTGATTGGAACCTATTATGGAACAAAAATGAGATTAATGTCATTTCACATTTGTCCCTGTTTCCTCCCTTTCTGCTTAGCTGGCTGAAAATCATGGAGCCACTTAAGGCAACTTGTGAATTAAAATAGAATCTTATCATAAACATATTTATGCCAGCTTAAATCTGCTTCTTTTCATATTCACCAGACAGTTAAGGATACATGCCCGCAGCTTGGCTGTTGCTATGTAAATGGGAATCTGTTGTTTCTATTCATTCATTCATTCATTCATTCATTCATTCATTCATTCATTCATTCAATTTATATGGCCGCCAATCTCAAACCAGTGACTCATTTTGCCTTCAAATTCAGTATGATTTTTTAAAATAGAAAATGAAAATATTTTGTACAATCAATATTCAAAAAAAGGTTGTACTTCCAAACAATAGCCATTATTTTAAATATAACTGTGCTGCTAATTTTATTCCAGCCTCCCCCAACTTGACGTGTTCCAGTTTTATTGGGTCTACAGTTTTCAAAATTAGTATGTTGATATATTGGAAAGGCACTATGCTGGGAAAAGAGGCCTAATTCTTTTGACAGCCTGTGATCTGGAGAAAGAATTGTTTTTAAATAACATTTGCATGTGTGCATCAGGCTTCCACAACTTGTATCCAACAGATACATTGGATGTCTATTCCCAAAACTCCTCTCCAACATTCTAGGAAGGATATCCAGTTGGGGAAGCTTGATCTATGCTAAGGAAACGGCTTGCATTGTCCAGAGCACTGTCATGAATTCTACGTCCTTCTTTTGTGGGCCAATTGACAAGGAAGCAGGTGATAACAAGGCATATGCCACTGCTATAGCCCTGATGAGGTGTGAGATATTAGATGGGGCCAGCTGGAAGACTTGAGGCTGTGTAGAAAAAAAGCCATAATCAAAACAAGCAAACCTCATTTTGGTAATACAGTGGTACCTCTACTTACGAACGCCCCCTACTTATGAATTTTTCGAGATACGACC